TCGAATTAATTGATCTAAAAATTTGGAAATTTTCGTTGTTGCAGCATATATAGTGTTGATAGTAGGTCGAAGTAGTGTTTCTTTCTAAATAGACAAATTTGTTTTTTTAGTTTTAATGATGGATATGTTATGTAATCGAAGCTTATATTGTTTAATTACTTTATGTGATTTAGGAAGAAAATACATGTAAGCTAGTTGTGTCTTTTCACGGACAGGTATCATGTTCATACGTTGATATTCTGCAATTTTTGACATTGTTTTTAATTGATTTAGTGAATGAGTGACATTGTAAATATTTTCATTAAGGGGACCCCTCCCCTTTCCCGGGTTTCTCAGGAACGGCAAGGCGAAAATTCTTGAAATTTTCAGGGTGGATAGATCTCGAGTAGTAGAGCAAAAGTTGTCATAGGCTCAAAAATGCCAAACCTCCCCTTCATGGAGTTCTGGAGACCCCAAAGTCCAAAAATCGCCTAAAGTTTTCCCCCCGGCAAATCCACAAATTTCATCCGTTTGACCTGAAATTTTTTTTGGTGATACTTCAACTAATTTGTGGGGTGTATAATTTTTGTTTTTGAAAAATTCCTAGAACTCACGAAATGAGAAGCAAAATACTGAAAACCTCGAAAAATCTATAGCATTTTAGGAATCTGTAAATTTCGAAAACGCTACCAAAATTTTTTGGCAAGAGATATCAACAAAAAACAATTATACACTCCACAAATTAGTTGAAGTATTACCAAAAAAATTTTTAGCCCGATCGGACTTGAAATGACCGAGAAAAAGGGAGAAAACCTCGAAAAATCCAATTTTGAGAAAAATTTCTTTTACTTTTCATTTTTAGCACTTTTTGATAGAAAAACTGGACTTTTTCGAGGTTTTTCACCTATAAAAAGTAGGTTTTTGGTTTTGCAAATGTGGTCAGCATATAGAGGTTTTCGATATCTATACTTACGTCAGCGACACAAAGCTAAATTTAGTACTACAAATCGAAAATAACACCGCACCTACCAAAGTTTGGGTTTTATTTTTCTAAACATTAATAAACTAGTTAGAATAAATCGTCTTTTGCCAGTTTCTTTCATTAATCGCTGAGTGTGTCGTAGTATTTAAAATCTGTTCACTGGTCCGTAGTTATTTTAAGTGCGAAGCTTAAATCTATAAATAATTGAATTACCTTTCTGTTGATTAATTATATCATGGTCATTTTATCATTTACGTGAAATGTATATGTATATTAACTGTTAACAAGTGCTTTCGTCAAACTGCAAAAACAGTTCCAGTTTCAACTAGTGCAATCGTTGAAATATATTAAAAAACGATTTGTTGTGGACTAATAGCACTGTTTAATCAGTGTACATATGAGATGTTAAGACGCCGTTATTTTCATTTTTTTGTCTGCCTGAGATGTGTACAGCATAGAAGGGTGGCATTCATTTTCTTCCAATATTCTATTACTGATTGTAGTAATGCGTTAGTATAATACTCTGCTTGTTATTATGGGTATATCAAGTTTATTGATAGCATTCATTTCGATAACTTCTCTTACAGTAAAACCTTTATTTCAAATTCAAACGAGAATGTTATCCAACCAATGGACTTTATCAGCTCGAAATAAGTAACGTTTGATTAAATTATATGAAAAATATAATTTATTACTAAATATAATTTATTACTAAATATAACAGCATTTAAAACAAATGACTTGTCAGATAACACAATGATTTATTCATGTCAATCATTTTGTGGTGGTTGAGGTGATCGATTAGGTGGAATTTTATCTGTTTATATTCTTGCTTTATTAACAAATCGCCATTTTATGATTGATATGAATTATCCTTGCGAAATTTTAAAAGTCCTTCAACCTAATGTTGTTAATTAGACATATGTTAAATATCAGAAATCAAAAAATCGGACACGTCTAAATATAAATACAATGCGTTCATGGCAAACAGCAATTCGAAATGAAATAGCAAATACGATTAAATCAAAAGATTTCGTTCAAATTTGGTCATCATATAACGATATAGTTATATCGACTAATAGCGATTATGTGACACCAGCATTACATAATAAGTTTGTACTAAATCAAACTCGAAAATTACTTGATCGATTTCTTCTAGCACAAGCGGCAATGCAAACATTATTTGCTTTTCTTTTTGAACTTCTTTTCACACCTTCTATTTCTGTTCGTAATCGACTTGATACAATATTAGCTGCTTCTCGTCATCGACATCTTATCTGTTTACATATACGTCCTGGTAAAAATCCAACAAATCCATTCGATCATGCATTTACAGGTCGCGTGAATACAATAAAGGCGATGTTAAATTTTACTAATAATTATCTATCAAACAAATCTTCATCATTAGCTTTTGTTACATCTGATAGTGGTCATGTATCAGATGTGTTACATCATTATCCAAATTCATCGATGACTATTGTGGGTCCTATTTTACATATTGATCGGTTCGATCGGCGGTCATCCATTATATGTGATGGATTTATTAAAGTACTTGCAGATTTTTATCTTTTAGGCGAGTGTCAAACTTCGCTGTTATCAAATAGTGGATTTTCATCATGGGAAAATCGAAGAAGAGAAAAACCAAATGAAGAATTGTATATATATAATGAAAAGTTTAAACAAATGAGAAAAAGTTAATTTTCTATGACAACTGACTATTTTACTTTTTAATATCATATATTGACAGGGATGTGGGTGCGTGTGGGTGTGGATATTGATCTTCACTTGACCCACACTCACACCCACACCCAACAATTAAATATAAAAATTAATAAAAATAGTCCTCGTCGTAATTATCATATTACGTGTTTGTTGAATCGTATTTTTGAAACGAAATTTTCGCCGGAACAAATCGGGATTCGTTTAGAAAATTGAGAGTCACTCATGCCAGTATATAAAGACTTTTTTAGAACAAGATCTATGGAAGAAGTGGAGAGACATATCAAGAATTATTATTCTATTCAACTTAATAATTTTTCGGCATCGCTCATCAATTGTTTTATACCTTTAATTACTCATTGTACGAATAATAATTGCACACGAAGTGAGTTGACAAACTCGATTCCTCATCGTGACGTCACGATCTTCTGTAGTGATGAAAGATTGAAGAAAGGAACGGTGCTCTTCAAACAATGTATTAAATAAAGATAAAAAGAAGTAAAGAACTGCTACAAACATTATGATTGACTAATCACAATATATTTATCATATTTCGACAATATCAATTGTCATCATCAGAATAAATACAAAACTTTTTAAACACGTATTAGATAGATAACATAAGAGGTATAATGTACTTGTGGATTACATGTAATGTGAACTGATTATTCAGTGATGTTAATAATATGATGAGGAATAATATCAATTTCGTATATTGAGCATTAAAATCATATGTTGTTTGTATAATAACACAAATTTACAAGAATTTAAAATTGTATGTTGCTTGTTTGTTGAATGTGTAGTTACACATATTATAGATGTATTACGAGAGTTTTTGGAATTATATGTAATCTGTATAATTACAAAAGTATAACAAGAATTTTAGAATCTTGAGAGTGTGAGTGTGGGTGACAAAAGAAAATAGCCACACCCTCAAGATTCTAAAATTCTTGAGGGTGTGGGTGTGGGGTGTGAGGGTGTGGCTATTTTCTTTTGTCACCCACACCCACACACACCCCTCAAGATGGTTGCACGTTCTCTAATTCTCCAAATTAACTGCGTTGTAACATTCACTCAGCAAATGCGAACAGAAGATCCCCGATATCTTCAACTTCTTGAACGGCTTCGTCGTGGACAATGTAATCACGACGATTACGAGCTACTCTTAACACGTGTCGTAGGACAACCATAAGCAGGATCTCTATCTGATACACCATGGAATAAAGTAAAGCTTCCTCTCTATTTTAAACACTTATCTATCTTCGTTTTTCTAGGCGCCCATTCTCGTGTTTTGAAATGAAGTACGGACACAATTGAATAACAAGGGGGCGATCCATGCGGCAGCAGAGATGGGACAACCACTTATGATATATGTTGCTGAAGATAGTTGTAAAGGCAAACCAATTGAAGACTCAAGATTAGTTAAAAAATTGTTAGAACTCTCTGATTACAAAACAGAGCATTTACCTGGTCTTTTACCTTTGGTTCCTGGAATGCCTGTTATTTTAACACAAAAAATTGCTATAGAACTGGGTCTTATCAATGGAATGAATGGAATCTTTCGACAACTTGTTTATGAAGAAGATTCTGTTTCAACAGATACTATTTCAAAAACATTTCCTAGCAATGCACGATACATACGTAAACCTTTATATGTCATAATTGAGATCGTCCGGTCGACGATTGGTAGCAATTTCGAACAACTTGGATCAAATGTCGTTCCAATATCATTAATGGAACAAACATTTCCTTTTAATATTGCTGATATTCTATTACAATGCATAAAAGTCAAGGTCAAACTTTGAAGAATGTTGTAATTGACTTAAAACTACCATATGGAACTGATGATATCGCCGCGATTTACGTACCATTATCACGTGTGAAACAAAAACTTGATTTAATTATTTTAAGACCTTTCGATTACAAAATACTATTAACGAAACCAAGCAAATCTCAACTCGCTGAAATAGAAAGACTAGATAAACTATATATCGAAACACAACTGCGTTTTGCTCAATGGTTCTAACATTCTTTGTCTCTTTCATACGATTTTCCATGTAGTTGAAAATACTTATAACATTAGATACTATTAATAAAAAAAATATATTTTATTACAAAAAGTTTTATAAAACACGTCGAGTACTTTTATTCAAATGTTACGATCTAAGCCAAGAGATTTGATTTGCTTATTTCTATGAAGTTGCTAGATCAATTCTTCCCATACTTACATATGCAAAAGAGTATTTCTGCCTTTCACAGTCGAGGGTTAAGTGAGTCCCAACGACGAACGTTACTTGCGGGTATGGCTCGGTATTGATATTGGTATTGATCAGTATTGGTATTAGTATTTGGTCAGAATTATACAATCATTTTGTTCCAGCTGATGAGATTTTTTTATTCTTTTTACCGAATGATCTAGTTAAGGATGTGGGTGTGAGGGTGAATGACTATTTTCGCAAAAATACCATTTTTATTAGCTTGTTTTTTAGCTGCTGAATTTCTATTAGTTTCGAGTCAATGAACAGGATTTACATATGTATGAATCCCAAATTCAAAATCAGCACTTCTAAAAACCCTAATTTTCTTGCCTTCTTGAATATTCAGTTTTGATTAGCCGGTCTCGGCGCAGTTGTAATCGTATTGGTTTTCAGATAAGCCGATCAGATTTCGGGTAAATAGACCGTGAATTCAAGTTTAGCACCCTTGAAAACCTCTAGATACGTGCCTTCTGCTTGCTGACAGTGTATTTCTCAATCTTTCTTCGATATTATCGAATGCTGCAATCTCGCTGGCCAATTACATAGGTGAGCCTGTAGCAAGCGAGCGAAGGATTGATTTTTTTTGGAAAAAAAGTAGATGTCAATCTTTCCCTAGATATCAAGAAGATTCATGAAAAATTTCGTTGTATTTGCACGTAGGATTTTTAAATGCATAATGAACAGACAGACAGACATTCTTCTTTATATATATAGATAGATTCTGTTGAAGATTGAAGAATATAAATAACTAAAATTGAATTTCTAGTCTCTCTCGCTTAACATTTATTAATTGGTGATTGTAAATATTTTATCAGGCTTAGTTGTGTTAGATTTTTAAATGTTGACTAATCCTTGATAGGAATTAATTAATGTTAAATGTGACTCTATTACTCAACACGGTATTGAGATAAAAAAGAAGTCACCTTTATTATCAAACCTCTTTGAAGACGTTTAATTTAATTGATAAAGACACACTGATAAACACATACCCTACATAGAACAGAAAAATCTTGTTATATAAAAGTAAAAATCCATTATGGTGAGACACAGTGGTATTATTATCTTGTGCCTTTTATCTTCAACATGGTGTGTTATTGCTTATATACCAAATGATGATATTTCAATAATTCATGAACGTGTAATGGAATTAATGGTATGGCCAGTGAAAGAAAATATTTCCATTGTAGTAGGCAATGCAGCAGTATTTACTAAAACATTAAATAGTTCTTGTTATTGGCCAGATGTTAATTATTATGACAAAGGTCTTGATACGTGGTTTACAGCAGAACATGTCTATAGAGTAACAACGATGTTACAAGCATTAACTGTGAATGGTTCATCGCTAAAAAATGATCCCGAAATACGCGCATCTGCTCATTGTGCTCTCAATGTTTGGTTGGTAAAGGATTGGCAAAATCCTAATTGGTATTTTAATGAAATACGTATTCCTCTTCATTTGACTAGCCAGTTACTAATGCTAGGTGATAATGCCACAAGTTTTGAAATTGAAAAGATAGAAGAGATTTCTTATCGTGCTGCTTGGTGGTTAAGTAGAGGAACAGATGTTGGAGCCAATCTTTTATGGATGATTCAAATTGAGATTTATCGTTCATTAGCAACCAATAATATTACAGGCATTGTACAAGGTTTTACACGAATGTGGCAAGATATTACTTTCCAATCAGCAAGTAGTATAGGAGTACAATATGACTGGTCTTATCATTTTCATGGACGACAATTATTATCTGGGAGTTATGGTATGATTTGGGCTGAACTTATTTTTTCATTCGTTGTATGTACACAAGGTACACAATTTGTAGTAAGCGATCAACAATTATCTCTGTTTGTTGATTTCATCACTAAAGGTGATGCATGGATGATCCGAGGCTGTAACTGGGATTTCAATGTCATTGGTAGAGCAATTGCAAGACCCGAAAGAGAACAACGTGTTAGTTTTTATACACCATCAATTAGAAAAGTAGCAGAGTTAGTTGAAGATTATGATACAAAAATACAATTACTCAGTTTTGCTGATCGTCTCGATGATCAATCTAATGCTTCTTTATTAATTGGTAATAAAAATTTTTTTCTTTCGGACTATCAAATGCATCATCGTGAAAATTGGGCCGCTGGTATTCATATGCAATCATCTCGAACACAACCTACTGAATGTATTAATGGTGAAAATCAAAAAGCAGAACATACAGGGCAAGGTGTACTCAATTTATATGTAGGAAATACTTATGATTATGATAATGTTTATCCACTTTGGGATTGGCAAGCTATCAACGGTATCACAGTTGAACATGATATACCTCTTGAACGTTGTAATGGTGCAACTTTTCCTTGGATATTATTACCATTTGTTGGTGGCGTTAGTGATAGTCAATATGGTCTAGCTATGATGGATACAGCATCACATAATCTTACTGCTCAAAGATCATGGCATTTCTACGATGATGCTATCATTGCATTAGCTACTAATCTAACATTAAGAACACCAACAACAGCATGGACTACATTGGCAAGTCGATTACTACCAACTGGACAAGTTACCATTGGTTTCTTTAATTCAACTATCATCACTCTCTCAGATGGAAACTATTCTTTTCCTTATGCTCAAGGAAACGCATCTAATGTTCAATGGCTACATCTCGGTGGATCAGATATTGCTTATTTACTACAATCACAACAACAATATTCTTCATTGGGTATCGAACTTAAAAATAAAACAGCCAATTATCTTGATATTGGTGCTTATAATGCTACAATATCAGGACGTGTCCTGACGATATGGATCAATCATGGTGTGGGACCTTATATTCTTGATTATAATTATATTATGTTACCAAATGTTTCTCTCGAAACAGTACCATCAGTAATTAAACAATATAGTGAAGAACAAGTGTTTGAATGTACATCAACTAATGCTAACTTTCATCAAACCATGTGGCCATCATTAAAACGTGCATCATTTGTTTTGTGGAATAATGTAACAACAACATTTTCATGCAAGAGTCCATTATTTCATGTACATATTAAGGTGCATGATGCTGGCGCTTATCTCTTTAGTGAAAGCGAAACAAACTTTACAGTGACAGCATCTCATCCAACACGAGTTGGTGGTAATGTCAAACTGACAATTGATCGAGTTGGATCTGGTCAAGGATGTATGCCATCATCGGATGACAATGCGGGAACAACTGATGTGTCACTGTCATTACCTTCGTCCGATACATATTTAGGTGCATCAGTCAATGTTACATGCAACAAATAAACTAATAATGAACTAAAATATTATATTTCTTTCTTTCTTTTAAAATAAACTCAAGATGCAGAAGAATAAGTGATGACACTTAGTTACGTTCTATTGATTTTCAGTATTTAAAATATTTTCAAATATGGTGGACAAGGCAAATTTTGATCTTCTGCACTATCTTAAGGGTTGTTTAAATAAACAGGGAGTCACTCGCCACCCAGGTCGGTGATTCCGGGCGCCGTTTCCGGCGTCGGATAAGGCATGAAACGACTAAAAAACAGCTAAACTCGTGCCAGAAACGGGCATGAATGGATGCCGTTTTTCGCCGTTTAACATCATAATCCGTTAAAATAAACCCAGATTTGTATTTGTAGTTTCGCCGGAACGGCAGGGTAGCATGAATTTCGCCGTACTGACTTTCGCACTATACTTTCGGCAATTGCCAAAAGTTCAGTTTTTGGCAATTATCGAAAATCTTAATAAAAATCTTCATCAACTAAT